GATTTGGGCTGACCCCATCTCTGCATCCCAGCCCTCCAGCCCAGCCCCAGAAGAAAAAGGAGGGCAACAGGGGCTCCATCTTCTGGCTTGGTCCCCTGGCAAAGGAAACAATAAAGAAGAATGGAGACATGCTCAGCATCAGTGACTGAAAGCCCCGAGATCAAGGGCATGTAGTGGAGATAGGGAAGGAAAAGTGCAATGGGAGTACTAGCACAGAGGGGGAGGGAAGGGTCCCTGCCTGCCATCTGAGGACCATCCCCAGCCCCTGCTGCACCCGGTGCCCTGCCCAGTGCCACCAGGCTCAAGGGTGGATGGGGACCTGGCAGGGCGGTCCGGGTGCCCAGCCAGCCCGGCGCTCCAGGGCCAGCTGCATGCTCCAGATGCTGAGGGGCCGCATGTAGGCCAGTGAGCGGTACACCTTCTTCTCCCGGTAGGCCTCCGGCGTCTGGAAAGCCATGCCCAGCCGCTCCCACACCGTCCGGTAGCAGCCCTCCGCCGTACGGAAGCCTTCCTCCACCAGCCCCTGCGGCACAGGGAAGGCGACCATCAGCAGCTTCCCACAGCACAAGGAGACTGCACACGTGCCCAGGGATGTGCTGTCAGCGTCCCCACTCACCTCCTGGATCATGGTGGCAGCCAGGGCGTACACCACGCCGATCCACACCTCGTTGGACTGGACGCTGGAGGTGTCGGGCACCCCGTCGGGTCTCATGCCATTCACCGCCCCCATGGTGCCCCCCGCAAAGCCCAGCACGTTCTTCTCAAAGATGGTCCTGAGTGCACTGAGAATGTGACTCTTGGGGAAAACCTGAGTGGACAGAGACGGGGAGGGGGGAGCTTTGGGCTCAGTGCTCCAGCAGACCCCTTAGCCTGGCTCTCCAGAGAGCAGGATTCAGTTTCCTTGGAGGAGAAGGTCAACACTGCTCGCTGGGTCAATTGACACAAATTCCCACCTCACAAAAATAACCGCAGGAAGTGAAATCTCCTCTTTTCCCAAAACCATGAAAACAAACCCCAAAACTGCTCAAAACAGAGATGCTGAATTTTATTCTACCTTCCTCTTGAGCAGGCTTAACAGCTCATCCAACCAGTGCATCCCCCATAACAGCTTCTCACCCACAGTCAATGGCCAAATGCCCTGCCATCTCCTGGGACTTTGCTCTGGGGACCTGAACAACCACACCACCTTCATTTGCTTTACGGGCACCACTTGCAAGGCAGCAAAGATCCAGGCAGCTCATCAACACAGCCCAGGGACTTGTCAGAGCCTGCTTGCCACTCTGGTGACACCAAAGCCTGGGGAAGCAGAGGCTGTCATGACACCAGGCAGGAGCTTGCCAGGGGAGGCTGGGCACTTCAACCAGACACCTTGGCAGACTCAAAGGAAAATCAGCAAATCCCTCTCAGCTCTGCTAAAG